TCCTCCTTCTATTCCTCCTCCTCCTATTCTTCTTCCTCTTCCACCTCCTCCTCCTCTCTCCCCCTCCCCCTCTTTCTTCCTCCTCCTCTTCCTCCTCTTCTTCCTCCTCCTGCTGCCATATCCATCATTGAACGTTGGCCGTAACTAAATTTATTTCCACCTGTATTGAATATCATGTCAAATTTGAAAAAAAAAAGAAGAAGAGAAAAGAAAATACTGTGATTTTCCAGGGAATTTCCTTGAATTCATTCCTTGTTTTTTTTTTGTTTACTTCTCCAGATCCGCATCGATGGTCCCATCAAAGGAGCTTTGGAGTATGAAATAGTCCACGTGACCGATTCAGGACTGATCCTGAGGGATATGGCTTTTTCGGTGGATCACAAGCACCTGTACCTCATGTCAGAGAAGCAGGTAAGCTCTCTGGCTTTTCCTGATCTGGTTTCATTCGCGAGAGCAACGTCGGTCGCATTTCTTAGATGGAGAGAGAACTTGCGTCTTGTCGGAGTGCAGGGAGACAGCCGATGAGTATCACACAGGTGGTCCTCAACGTACGACCACAGTGAGCCCAAACCTTACGTGGCTAGGCGAGACATTTGTTGAGCAAGTGTTGCCCCATTTTACGACCTTTCTTGCCACCGTTGCTAAGTGAATCGCCGCAGTGGATATGTTTGTAAACCAGTTGTTAAGTGAATCTGGCTTCCCCAATGATTTGGCTTGTCAGAAGGTCGCCAAAGGGGGATCACGTGAACCCCCGTCATAAATATGAGTCAGTTGCCAAGCACCTGAATTTTAATTACATGACCACGGAGATGCTTCAAAGGTTGTTAAGTGTGAAAAATATTCCTAGGTTCTTTATTTCAGGGCCATCGTAACTTTCGAATGGTCACTAAATGAACCGTTGTAAGTTTGAGGACTACCTGCTTAACCTAAGTGTCAGGATTCCAGCAGTTACCCCAATTAAATCATGAGTCTCAAGCAAAACTTCAAAAGGATTTATTGGGTGTTAACATGCCAGCACTGCCTGGGTGTAGCCGACTCTGAGACACATCATTGATTGTCACCCTTGACCCTGGTTTTTCCCCACCCCCTAAGTGTAGCATAATTCATATTCTCCAATGGGACACATCCATAGCCCAGAGTCCTCAATCATGCTCTCCAGTTAAATATTTGCACGGCAGAAACTTCAGTCACCTAGTTACTATCTTTGAAAACATTTATGGAATGCGGTTTCGGAATCAGGCTTCCCTGGTTGACTTTGCTTGTTGGACGGTCGCAAAAGGGGATCATGTGATCCCGGGATATTGCAACCGTCATATATAGGAATCGGTGACCAAGCGTCTGAATTTGGATCGCGTGAGCATGGGGGCGGGGGGGGAAACACTGCGACGGGTGTCGGTGTGAAACATGGTCATCGGTCATTTCCTTCGGTGCTTTGAACCATCACAAAATGTACCGTTGTAAGTTGAGGACTACCTGTATTGACCATTTACGGTTTGATTTTTCTGGACTTTAGCTGTATTCATGCCTTTTGGTTGCCATATTTTACTGTTCTTAGTCCGTTTGATGGAATCCTGTGGAGGGCATAACCCTATAAGTAAGAACTCAGACGCGAGGGCTTTACAAAACATTTTGGACTACAAACTTTCAGGTTCAAACACTCCATGTTGTCAATGTCCAGGCAAAGCAACAAATCACAACTGTCCAGAGTAATCTACCGGTTCGAACCGGTTTTATAGAACCGGTTATTATTATTCTGTGCAGTTCGGAGAACCGGCAAATCATGCCCCTGACTGGCTCTGCCCTTCTCCCTCCCTGCCCAGTTGGTCCTTATCATGCATGTGCAACATGGCAGACTGTGTTCTCCCCCACCCAGTCATTCCTTAAGATATTTATTCCCCCCCCCGCACCATCTCCTGGGGATTGGCCTAAAGTCCCCCAGCCAGCTTTCATGCCTAAAGTGGGGCTAGAACTCACCGTCTCCTGGTTTCAGCCATGTGCCTTGACCGCTAGACCAAACTGGCTCTAAAATGCTCTCGATGCATGCATCATATGCGTGAGGACATCAGAGGGTATCAATTGTCTTCCTCCTCCCCCTCCCTCCCACTTAGGGACACCTATGTTACCGCTTTCTCCTCCGCGTTTCTCCGCTTCCTTTCTCCCTACCTTCTGCTAAACCCACCTGATCTTGTCTTGGGAGATTGGATTCCTCCATCTTTGGCCTTCAGGAGTCTCCTCCTTTGCGTCCTCAAAGCCCCCTTTTATTCCCCCCTTTTTTTCCTCAGCCTGTGGTGGATGTCCATCCATCAAACACAAGATGTCAAAAAAAGGGGCTTAGGATTTCATTCATTCGTCTTCATTAGCGGTGAAGCCCAAAGACATAACTCAATAATTCAGGGGGCAGCAGTGACAAAGGACAGACGGATTCAAGTTCGCTTTTCTTTTTTTGCTCCTTTCTCTTTCTTTTTCTTTTTTTTTGTCTGCATTTTACATAAATGGCAGTTTTATGCCTGCACACCCCTTCTCCCTGTCACCCGTGATCCATCTTTTTGCAGCCTAAGTATTTGATTGGTCTTCATTCTGGCTCCCCCATCGTGCAGGACATTGGCCGGCAGCAAGGGGGCAGAAATGCTATGAGATTGAAGGAGGCGCCAGGATAGGTGTGACCACCAATGTAGTCTACACCCCCCAAAAGTGGATAGAGGCTGGGAGGCAGTGAGTAGAGTTGAGGTAGCTGTCATGCCCCTGTCGGAGTCTGAATCCGAGGAGGAAGATGAACAGCGGACAGGGAGTGGGAGTGTGGCTCCATTGGCTGTGGAGGAAACTGGGGAAGGGCAAAGTCCAGCTGGGCAGAGCAGGGGAGAGGTAGAAGAAGGGAGAGGGAATTCAGAGGAAGACCCAGGCCCACACTCTCTTCATCCTAGGGCACGCAGGGAGGAACGGAGAAGGGAGCAACATGGGTTGCATGGCTTACGGGGAAGGAAAGGGCCCTGATTCCCTTCATTAGCCACACCTGGGAACGAGAGTTTAAAAGAGATGCAAGCTGAATGTGGCAGCTGCTGGGAGCAACTGTGAGTTTATCTTGTGTTGACTTTAGTTATCTGTGTTCCTGGCGTCTTCCCACCAGGAGTGGGAAGTATGGACTAATTGCCATGCTTTCATGTCTGGAATTCTTCCTCCTGCCCTGCTGGGCTAATTACCTCATTTTTGCCTTGATTGGACTTATAGTTACAGTTTCTGGTGTGGTTTCTCAAATGGCCATAAGATGGAGCCAGAAGCCTGGTTTATCTTAGGCCTTAGTCTCAGAAGAGAGTGGGAGTGTATCTCTGTTTCCTTCTGTTGGAAACTATTGCCGTTCCTCCATTTCTTCTAATTGACTGATATTACTGGATTTAATGTAAGTCTGTTACTGAACTGTTTTTTTGACACTGGACTTTGATATTTGGATTATCCCTGGATTGAAAACTGACTGATTTAACTTGTGAATGACTTTGGATTGGTTATTTTGGACTTTGCCTAACGTTTCTGGAAGTAAAAACCTACATTTACTGTACAATGTATCTGTGTGCTGTATGTGTATTATTCAAACACTCCTCTCGAATACGTCTCCCTGTATGCGCTCATTCTCCTAACGGGGAATTACCTCAACAACCATGTTTTGGACTTGATTTTCTGCAGCCAAAGGCTGTTCCTGGGAGAGTTTTTCTCCAGCCAGAAGGTAACCAGGACATTGGGGTCAAAGTTGGAGCTAATGAAGGGACTCCTACTGATCATCTGACTGTGTTGCCTTTGTGCCACGCCCCTTTGGATCATCACAGTAGCCCACCCAAAGGTTTGGGACTATGGCGAGCATCCGGCAAACATTGTGAAAAATGAAGGTGAAGAAAATAAGTGTTAGGATAATGGAAGCCTTTCAGAAGACCAGCGAAGATCAGTTATCACCCAAGTGGAAAGAATCAAATAGAGCTGGAAGGTTCCTTGGAGGTCTTCTAGTCCAACCTCCCCTGCTCAAGCCGGAGAACCTATAGCATTTCAGTTAAATGACTGTCTAGTTTCTTGTGCTAAATTGTGCTTATAAGTTGAACACTGTCCATATTCTGTTTACAATCTCAGAGAGAAAATGGGCTAGAAGAGAGGGCTGAGGTGCAAGAGATTCCTCCTATAGGAAATTTATTTATTCCTCCCCCCCCAAGAGCCTGCATTACACCCCTGTGTAAAATGTTTAAGGTCACTTCTAGCAGATGTTTTGACATTTCCAAGTTTCTCCCCCACACCCCGCAAACCTGCACCCAGGGCTCAAAGCTCAGCAGGCTATCATGGTTGAGCTGTGGATATTGTTGACCTTAAAATGTATGTTGCAAAGTAAATGACTCTTGAATGCAACCAGATCCCGTTGCAAATTGGCCAGCCTTTTCTCCTGCGCTATTACTGGGCACAGACTGCAGCTTACCAGCTCTGCTTTGCTGCCAAGAGCCAGCAGCCACGTCCCTGATGAAGTGTGAAAGGGAATAGCGTGCAACCATTCTTCAACCGGAAAGCTGTGATAGAAGAGGATATGTGTAGCTCAGGATTGAATTGTGGGGTTAGGGTTTGTGGGTATTTCATGATCCAACTAGGTGTGATGATCCAAAGGGGCATGACACAAAAGCAACAAAGTCACAAAAAGTAGGTAAAGTCCCTTTAATTCCTCCAACTTGGCCCCCAAAGTCCAGATATCATCGGCTGGAGAAAAAAAACTCTCCCAAGAACAGTCTTTAAAGGGAAGAAATTCAGTCCAAACCCAAAGTACATATAAATTATAAATAAAAACCAATACAAACCACGCTGCAGCAATTAACGAGACAGGGCAAGATAAGGAATTGCAGACTTCAAAAGATAATGAAACACACACAGTTGGGAGGACGCCAGAACCCAGATAAGATGCGACAAACCCAAATAATTCATGCTTTGCTTCCAGCAACTTTGCTGTGCGTAGCTTGCCTTTTTAAACAATTTTTCCAGCTGCAGCCAGTGAAGGGGATCAGGGCCCTTTCCTCCCCGTAAACCATGCAACTCACATTGTCCCTTATCCGTTCTTCCCTGCATACCCTAGGATAAAGAAGGGGTGGGCCCGGGTCTTCCTCCGAATGCCCAGCCGGACTGTGCCCTTCCCCAGTTTCTTCCACATCCATTGGAGCCAAACTCCCACTCCCTGTCGGCTGTTCCACCTCTCCCTCGGTAATGTCACCAGTGCTAGAAGAGAGTGTGATTTGGGAGGAGGAGGGTGTTCCTTCAGTGGTGGGATTCAAATTTTTTTTTACTACTGGTTCTGTGGGCGTGGCTTGGTGGGCGTGGCAGGGGAAGGATATTATAAAATCTCCAGTCAGAGATGGGTTTTGCCGGTTCTCCGAACTACTCCAAATTTCCGCTACCGA